TTTGGTTTCTTTGTGGCCTTGAACTCACATGAAACAAAACCAAAGAAAATGCTCACATAAGCCTCTAAGATGTGAAACTATGAAGGTTTTTTTTGTTTGTTTTGTTTTTTCACAATTCTGTTAATTTCCACCAATTTACACAACTCACTCACTATAAAACACTTTGAAATAGGTAATACAGTAACAGACTACTGTAAACAAGATATTCAGCTGGCTGTGCTGGAGAGGCAAAAATTCAGGAGCTAAATGAGGATCCTGTTTTGAATTATTCAAAACTGAGAAATGTTCCTCATGTCTTCCATTGTTTTGTTACAGGAGCTCTAAAAGGAATTAGCTATTACTAAAAAGAGGCAGAATTGGCTTACGATGATAATGATAAAAATCGCTTAATTAGAAACTGGTAGCTATGGGGAGAAGTAATTTTGTACACAAGTTAATGATTAATTAAGGTAGAAAGCCTTGAACTTTTCAACATAAGCTACGTGCAGAAGAAAAGCCATTAGCACAACCACTGATTCTACTCATTTTAAGTAAATTAATTTCAATATCAATTATTGACACTTTGCCTTAAATAGATATGCCATATTCCTTGAATGATTCTCATGAGAGAAATTTTCCCCTCATGATTCTCATATCTTCATTGCTCACATAATTTTGGAAAATTGACTAGAATGCTCTGTCTCTCACCTAACGTTTTTCCTCTACCAGTCTGCTAAAGGTCCGAGTTTATTACAGAGATGGCAGTTCTCTCTTACAGGCTGTCTTCTCTTCTTGACAAGAACAGCTCGAGTGCCCATATGGCTTTGTTTGATAGATAGTTTTGTATATCTTATCTTTGTTCTGAAAAAGGAATGTGGCTTATGGAAGTTAGAAGTAAGATAACCATAATGTCTTTGGGGCAGAACAACTTAGCTTTTCAGTATGCATGGCTCACTGCAAAAGTCCAGAAATTAAAACAAACAAACAAACAAAAAAAAAAAACCTTTCAGGATTCTTTATGAAGACTTATATTCTCCCCATCCTCTTCCCCTCCCACTTTTTTTTTTTTTTTTTAAAAAAAAAAAAAAACCCTTTAGGGTTCTTTTTGAAGACTTATATTTCCCCCATCCCCTTCCCCCCCCCCTTTTTTTTTTTTTTTAAAAAAAAAAAAAAACCCTTTAGGGTTCTTTTTGAAGACTTATATTTCCCCCATCCCCTTCCCCCCCCCCTTTTTTTTTTTTTTTAAAAAAAAAAAAAAAAACTACATTCCTTCTGACCTCTCAGAGTGTGCTGCCAACCCTTCACAGCACAGTCTGAATGTCAGCTTTGGACAAATTACTGTACCTGAATTCCCAGGTGACCCTATGAAGCAATGTCTTTTTTGTGCATGGGAGGCAAAATCTGAGTTCAGGCCTGTGATGTGGGACTCACCCCAAGTGATCAGAGTTTTCATAGCCTCAAAATTAGATTGTTGCAGTGTAATCTGCAGATGAACCACCATTTAATCAGACACTGAGGCTTTACTGCCATGGGATGTATGAAGTGTAAACACAAACACATAAAGGCAAAGTTGAGACCAATACTTGTTATCTGTTTATATGAAGATGAACATCAAGATGGTGGTTACCTCTGATGGCCTTTTATATGATTATCTGGGAAGTCGTTCTGCTTTCTCTGGCCTACCACAGGGGTCAAGAGCTGTTAAATCGGGGGGCAGCTTATGGCCTGTGGGCTACATCCAACCCACCAAGCCCACAGTGCGTCCCTCAGCCCTGCCTGGCTCAGGCATGGGGGGTAGCCCAGACCGTGGCACCTGAGGCCTGTCCCACTGTCCTGGGCCATGCAGCAGGGCTGGGGCAACACAGTGACCAGACTCTGCTTTCCAACAGCCCTGGCAGCAGTGGTTTCTGCTGGTTGCCGCTACCAGTTGTCGCTGCCGCCAAACCCAGCCCTGCTGCCCAGGGCTGGCCCATCTGTCCTGCGCCCATTGCCGGGGCACTGGACAGAACAAGCAGATGGTGTCTCCATGGACACTAACCTGGGACCCCCATGGGTGGGGCGTGCTCTGCTGGGCAGGTAGGATAGGGCCATGGTGGTGGGGGAAGTAGCATCTAGAAGTGCAACAAGTAGGCAGGGCCAGGATCTCAGGGCAGTGACAGTGCCGGGCCATGCTGGAAGTGGATGGCAGATCTGCTCTGAAACCCCAACTCCATGCTGTCACCACCATACAATCCTGGCCGTAGACGCCATTCCCCACCCGCCCTGCTTCCAATTGCCACTCCCCGCCTGCCCACCCTGCTCTCAGATGCCGCTTCCTACCTGCCTGTAGCACCGTCCCATCTGCCCAGCTGAATGCACCACACCCACAGGGGTCCTGGACCAGTCTCCAGGGAGACCCCACCCACTCAGTCTAGCACCTGGTCTAATATATCACTTAGAGAGTTTTGGTGAGCTGTTGCAGGCTGGAAGGGAAGGGGAGGAGGGGGGAGGGCTGA